ATACCAACATTTTGGGAGGCCGAGGCAAGAGGACTGCCTGAGCCCACGGGTTCAAGACCAGACTGGGCAACATGGTGAGACCTCATCTGTATAATAAATAAAAATATTAGTTGGGCATGGTAGTGTGTGCCTGTAGTTCCAGCTATTTGGAAGGCTGAGGTGGAAGGATCGCCTGAGCCCAGCAGGTCAAGGCTGCAGTAGCCATGAGCATGCCACTGCACACCAGCCTGAGCGACAGAGTGAGACTCCAACTCAAAAACAAAAATAAAAACAAAAACCAGGTTTTGTTATGTTGCCCAGGCTGGACTCAAACTCCTGGGCTCTAGCAATTCTCCAGCCTCGGCCTCCCAAAGAGCTGGGATTACAGGCATGAGCCACCATGCCCAGCCTCCCTGTTTTTTAACTATTAATGACTGAAAGATTTGAGCAAATGTTTGTAACTGCCTTTACTAAGTGATCCATTAGAATTAGACCCTCGTTCAAAAGTATTTTAAAACAACAACAAAATGTTGTTACAGGTTGAGTATCCCTAATCTAAAAATCTGAAATCTGAAATACTCCAAAACCCAAAGACACCAAAATCTGAAATTTTTGAAGCACCAAAAGGAAATGTTCTTTGGAACATTATAGAGCATTTAGATTAGGGATGCAGAACTGGAAAATGCAAATGTTCCAAAACTTTTTTAAAATTCAAAATCCAAAACACTTCTGGAAACAAACATTTTGGATAAGTGATACTCAACCTATACAATATATACTGTAATAAGAATATGCTTAGTCAAGGCTGTAGTGGCTGTGAGCATGCTACTGCACTCCAGCCTGGGTGACAGAGTGAGACTCTAAAAAAAAAAAAAAAAAAAAGAATATGCTTTACTGTTAATAAATAGTCAAATGTCTCCTTTCACACATATAAGTTATAAAGTATAATATAAGCATCCTGTATTTAAGTTTGTAGACTAAGACAGTATTAAGAACCCCACAATTCAAATCTAACTATACTGGCCAGGTATAATGGCTCACGCCTGGAATCTCAGCACTTTTGGCAGGCCAAGGTGAGAGAACTGCTTGAGCCCAGGAGTTTGAGACCAGACTTGGCAGCATAGCAAGACCTTATTTCTACAAAAAATCAAAAAAGTCAGGCATGGTGGCTCATACCTGTAATCCCAGCACTTTGGGAGGCAGAGGCAAGAGGGTTCGAGACCAGCCTGGGCGACATGGTGAGACCTCACCTCTATAATAAATCAAAAAATTAGCTGGATCTGGTGGCACATGCCTGTAGTTCCAGCTACTTGGAAGGCTGAGGTGGAAGGTGGAAGGATCGCCTGAGCCCAGCAGGTCAAAGCTGCAGTGGCCATGAGTAATGTCCCACTGCACTCCTGGGCCACAGAGTGAGACTCCAACTCAAAAAAAAAAAAAAATCAAAAAATTAGCCAGGCATGTCATATGTTGGTACAGGATTTGAACTATATCACAACAGGAAGCGTAACTTAATAGCAGTCTAGCAGGCAAACAAGCTCCACATAGCTTAACACAATTTATTTGTGTTACTACAAAATAGAAAAAGTTGTACTTGGGAAGTGGAGGCAAAACGACTGCCTGAGTTCAGGGGTTTGAGCCAGCCTGTGCAACTTGGCAAGACTTTGTCTCCACAATAAATCAAAAAAAGTAAAAAATAAAACAAGCTGGGTGTGGTGGTATGCACCTGTAGTCCCAGCAATTTGGAAGATTACGGTGGAAGGATCACCTCAGCCCAGAAGATCGAGGCTGCAGTGGTCATGAGCATGTCCCTGCACTTCAGCCTGGGTGATAGAGTGAGACTCCTACTCAAAAAAAAGGAAAGAAAAAGCTGTATATGAATATGTTACCTATCCATGTTGGTGAATCTCACCAACATAAATCTACCATAGTAGCCTGTCTTCATCTCTAATAAAATCAAGAAATGTTGGCAAGCATTTAACTCATTATAACTTAACCAACTGTGTACTTTCAATTATGAAATACTTTTTCGTGACCCTCAGATGATAATCCTCCGATAACCAATATTCTCACAGAAACAGGAGAGAAGGGGACAGATCAGTTCTGAATAGGCCCAGCCTGCTTATCTCACCAGATTGATCAGCCTTCTCATCGCATGTTCATGAGAGCAAATGCATTCACAGGGATCGAATCCGCCTTCTGCCATGATTACCCAGCTTGATTTTACTTGACTGTTTAAATCTAGAAGAAAGGAAAACATATCGTAAGACTACTATTCGCAGTTCTTCTTTCTCTTGTATTATGAAAAATTCATGTTTTGTATAGATTCTTAATAATTTTCTTAAGCTATGTATAGCTCATGTTTATTAATACTTATACCTATAATTTACCATATGAATTACAAATCTATACAAGTGACTGGCTACTATCATCAGACCACTTTCCTATAAATGCAAATATCCTCAGATGCTCTGCTGGCCCCACCTGGGATGCTGATGATGCCAGCACCTACTCTGCTTAATTACTTAATTCTTTATTAGCGCCTGTACTCAAACACTTAAAGCTGCCTTGACTCCATCAAAAAAGAAAACTGAAAAAAAAAATGAGGTCTCTAAAATGATACTGAAGTTTATGGAGGGAAATGAATGAAAATAGCTAGCTAACAGTTGAGTAGATTCTGAAAAATAAAGAGAAACCAGTGAGGCCGGGTGCGGTGGCTCACATCTGTAATCCCAGCACTTGGAGAGGCCGAGGTGAGAGGATCACTTGAGCCCCGGAGTTTGAGACATAGCAACATAGTGAGACCTTGTCTCTACAAAAAAAATTTTTTTAATTAGCTGGGTGTGGTGGCACACGCCTGTAGTTCCAGCTCCTCAGTAGAAGCTGCTACTTGGAGGCTGCAGTGGCTGTGATTGAGCCACTGCACTCCAGCTTGGGTGACAGTGAGAATCCTACTAAAAAAAAAGAGAGAGAAACAAATGAGAGGCCAAAATGGAGTACTGGCAACCAGAAGAATCCTTTGTCTTAAACAGTTTTTTAAAACTGTACAAAATACATGAAACAATCATTTTAAGACATCGGACATTAGGCAACAAAGAACAGAGATTCCTGAGAGATAGGAAACAAGCAAAGTAAGCCCCATCACTAACACAGTGTACTGTCTGAAGGGGTTTCTAGGCCCAAGTGCTCAGAGGAAAAACCCAGATCAGACCCCAGTGGTATCCCTGAGTTGGAGAGAAGCAGCTAGAAGAATGGCTGGTTTTTTTGTTGTTTGTTTGTTTTGAGTTGGAATCTCACTCTGTCGCCCAGACTGGAGTGCAGTGGCCGCTCCCAGTACTCAAATACTTAAAGCAGCCTTGACTCCATCAAAAAAGAAAACTGAAAAAAAAATGAGGTCTCTAAAATGATACTGAAGTTTATGGAGGGCTGCTGGGCTCCGGCGATCCTTCCGCCTCAGTCTTCCAAGTAGCTGGAACTACAGGCGCACACTACCACACCCGGCTAATTTTTTTTTTAATTTGTTGTAGAGATGAGGGCTCACCAAGTTGCCCAGGTGGGTCTCGAACTCGTGTGCTCAGGCAATCCACTCACCTCAGCCTCCCAAGGCGCGGGATTACAGGCTGAGCCACCGAGCCCGGCTAGAATGGCTGTTTTTAATCAGAGACATGAAAGATATTAAAAACACCCAACTGGACTTGTAGAGATGAAAACTTTAATGTCTCAGACGAAAATACACTAGATGAGTTTAATGGCATAGTAGACATTACAGAAGAAACGATTGTTGAACTTGAAGACATAATAACAGAAACATCAAAGATGGAATAACAGGAAAAAGGAGTAGTCCCAGCTACTTGGGAGGCTGAGGATTGCTTGGGCCCAGGAGTTCAAGGTCAGCCTGGGTAACATAGCAAGAACTCAGCTCTAAGAAACAACCAATAAAAAACAATGAATACAGCATTAATATGCTGTAGGACAACATCAAATGGTCTAATATATAGGAGTTGCATACATATACATTTGTCAAAATTTACCAAATTGTATATTTAACTGTATATGGTAGGTTTTTTGTTGTTGGTTTTTTTTTTTTTTTTTTGGTAGAGACAGGATCTCTCTGTTACCCAGGCTGGAGTGCTGTGGCAAGATTATAGCTTACTGTACCTCAGACTCCTGGGCTCAAGCAATCCTCCTGACTCATCCTCTGGAATAGCTAGAATTATAAGAACATACCACCATACCCAGCTATTTATTTTTATTTTTTATGTTTTTGTAGAGACAGGGTCTTGCTATGTTGCCAAGGCAGATCTTGAACTCCTGGCCTCAAGTGATCCCCCCGCCTCAGCCTCCCAAAGCACTGGGGTGTTAGTCACTATGCCTGGCCTTAGTAAAATAGATCAGTAGAATAAGTCATAAATCAACTCAAAAGAACTCAGTTCATTCATTCAAAAATATTTAGTATTTGTGCTAGGGTCATCAGATATTTAAAAGTGAGGCAAAACTAACATAATCCTTACCTTAATGATGTTTACATTCTAATGTTTAGAGATAGATACTCATCCAAATGTTTTTAAAATTACAAATACAAACAGATAAATGCCATAAAAGATAAGTAAATCAAGAGTGAAAAGATAACCCCCAGAATGACAGAAAATATCTGCCAATTATATATGTGACAAGGGTTTAATAACCAAAATATACAAAGAACTCCTATAACTCAACAGCACAAAGACAAACAGCACAATTTAAAAATGTCAAAGGGGTCAGGTGGGGTGGCTCACGCCTATAAATTCCAGCACTCTGGGAGAACAAAGCAAGAAGATTGCCTGAATCTAGGGATTCAAGACTAGCCTGGTCAGCTTGATGAGATCTTGTCTTTACAATAAATCAAAAAAGTAGCCAGGCATGGTTCCAGCTATTTGGAAGGCTGAGGCGAAAAGATGGCCTGAGCCCAGCAGGTCGAGGTTGTGGTGACCATGACTGTGCCACTGCACTCCAGCCTGGGCAACAGAGTGAGACTCCAAGTCAAAAAATAAATAAATAAATAAGTAAAATAAAAATTAAAAAGGCAAAGGATCTGAATAAATTTTTCAAATAAAATATACAAATGGCCAATAAGCATATAAAAATTCTCAGAGTCAGTAGTCATTAAGGGAAAGTCAATCAAAACCACAATGAGATACCACTTCACACCTACTAGTATGGGTATGATCAAAAAAGTGAAAAATATGTGATGTAGAGAACCCTCATATATCACTGGTGGGCATAAAAAATGGTAGTGTAGCTGCCATGGTAAAGAGACACAGTGCCTCAAAAAGTGTTTCTAGTTTTTTGATTTTTTGTAGAGATGAGGTCTCGCTATGTTGCCCAGCCTGGTCTCAAACACCCAGGCTCAAATAATCCTTCCACCTCAGCCTCCCAAAGTGCTAGGATTATAGCACCATGTCCAGCGGAAAAAGTTAAACATAGAATTATCAGACGACCAGCAATTCCGCTCCTAGGTATATATTCAAAAGATTTAAAACAGGGGCTCAAACACATAAGTGTTTGCCAAATATTCACAGCAGTATTATTTACAATACCAAGAAGTGGTAATGACCTAAGTGTCCATCAATTAATAAATTGGCTGAACAAAATGTGGTACACACATACAATGGAGTATTATTTAGTCATAAAAAGGATCAAAGTTCTGATATATGTTACAACATGAATGCACCCTGAAAACATTAACCAAAGTGAAACAAGCCAGACAAAAAAGAACATATATTGTATGTTTCCATTCACATGAAATATATACACACAGAGACATTTAGACAGAGACAAAATAGAATGGTGAATTCCAGAGCCTGGTGGCGGGGGTGGGGGTGGGGGGGGTAGTGAGTGGAACAGGGAATTAGTGATTAATGGGCACAGAGTTTATGTCTGTGGTAATGGAAAGTTTTGGAAACAGTGCTGATGAGTGCACAACACTATGAATGTAATTAATGTCACTGAATTTTACACTTGAAAAATGGCTAAAATTGCAAATTTTGTTATATTTTACCAGAATTTTTTTAAAAATCACTCTAGCTGCCCAGACCTGTTTTGAGGGGAATTAGGTTTGACTGCTAATGTGTACAAGGCTCTTTGGGGGAGAAAACATTCTACTGTTATGACCATATAACCCTGTGAATATCCTAAAAACCACTACACTGTATACTTTAAATGCATGCACTGTATGGAATGTGGATTAATTATATCTCAATAAAGCTGTTATAAAAATAAATACCAATGGTGCTTAGAAAGGACACACATTCTAAACTCGCTGGGGGGCAGGGGAGATTTTACTGAGGAAATAAACTCTGAGTTGAGAGTGGAAGGATGCGCTGGAATACACTGAGGCGGGAGAATGGGGGGGAAGGGCTTGGGGGCTGCAAGGCATACCACCCACAAAGGGAAAGTGGGGTAAAAGTACCACAGTGACATAGAGCAGGAGGAACTGGAGGAAAGCCACGAAGCATCAGAATCCAGACAGAGAGTGGCCTGAAATAAGGCAGGGCAGGTCAGATAGCACTAGGCCACAAAGGGTCTTTCAGGCCATGCTCAGGAAGAGGCCTTTACCCAAAGAGCAATGTGAAGCCTGGAAAAAGTTTTACCCTGGTATGTTATGGAAGGACCACTAGGCTGTCAGTGGAAACTCTAAGAGGGAAGCCCGAGCAGATGGAGGGAAGCTAGGTAAAATGACCCTTCCAGAGAGGATGACACCAGTGCTCCTCGCATGGCACTATATCAAATCACTGGGAGGAACATAAGTCACTCTATAAATGATGCTGACTCCCCCTCTCCTCACTTCTTACACCAAAATAAATTATAAGCACATCAGTGATTTCACTTTAAAATGAAGTCACACATAAAAATAGTCAACTAGAGATAGATCAGAAGGGAGTATCTACAAACTGACCCATGATTTTACTAGAACTCAGAATATTTTAAAAGTGCCATTTTAAAATGTGGATATTTGATAAATGGTGGGGGAATTGTCTATTGGTTTTTTTTTAATTGAGCTATAATGCACACAATAAAACGCTGGAAAAACATACTGCAAACTTAATAAGTGGATAGATAGCTCTGGGGAAGAGAATATAATTTGGGAGATAAGGTTTCATTTTGTCAATTTCACACTTCTTATAATGAGTATGTATTTATGTATTAGAACTTTCAAAATATAGAAAAATTTTAATTTAAGAGAAGCCATAGGGCAGATGTAA